AATACCAACTGTTTATTTGGCGGTAAATTTGAAATAAACTCTTACAATTTATTGCATTAAAAATATTATAGGACAAATTAAATAATTTAAATGTTAAAGTGGAGAAATTTCTCCAATGGTATTTTTAATTCGTATTATACATTTCTCATATAATATTATTAATTCAAATTATTAATTTGGCCAATGTGATATTTTTTATTCAACAAATTAAAAATATAATATACCTAATATACAGGGTGTTTCCTAACTACGGTACGAAATTTCAGAGGATGATTCGTTAGGTCATTTTAAGAAAAGAAGTTCCTATAAACATATGTCCGGAGTCGCTTTGTTTCTGAGATACAGGGTGTTAGAGTTTTTTTTAAAAATAGGTTTTTATGAAATATCATATAGGTCCTTAAACCGATTTGGTTCAAATTTGGTACAGTTATTTGAATTAATAAGACGCTTATTCAGCACTAACTAGATTTTAATTATTAAGTCCAGTGGCGTCTCATGGGGCACCAAGCCAATTATTATTGAGAAAAAATGTACGCCACTGACTTTTTTGTGGTTTTTTATTTTTTTCCAGATTAAGCAACTAAAAATACAACTTTTAGGTCTCTTGTGTTTTTTTCATGTCTAACTTCGTTTTCCAGAAAAAAACTATCACGGAACAACATAAAACAAAAACCAAAAATAAAAAATAAACCTTAAAGTAAATGTTCAAAATGTCCACCTTCTGATAAAATACACGATTGCAATCGATTTGTTACTGACCGTCTGACACGTTCAAAAATACCTGGAGTATTCCTTATGACATTGCAATTGTCAATTATCCGATTCCTTAAGTCCTCAACATCTAGCACAGGAGTTTTATAAAGAAGAGCCTTCAGATGACCCCATAAATAGAAATCTAGAGGATTCATATCAAGACTGCGAGCCGGCCAATTTTAAGGTCTTGCACGTCCAATCCAGCAATTAGGATACGTGACGGCGAGATGCTGACGTGCAAGAACACTGAAATGAGCTGGAGCTCCGTCGTGCATAAACCACATGTAGATTCTTACATCTAGGGGTACTTCTAACAAAATGGGTAAATGATGTCGCAAAAAGTCCGTGTATGATTCACCTGTTAACCTTGCTGGTAAAAATAATGGGCCCATTAAGTAGTCGCCAATAATTCCTAACCAAACGTTTAGCGAAAATTGTTGCTGGAAATGACTTTCTCTAATAACGTGGGGATTTTCGTCAGCCCAAAAATGTTCATTGTGAAAGTTTCTAATGGCATCTAGTGAAAAAGTTTACTCGTCCGTAAATAAGATATTTGGTAAAAAGTTATTATTGTATGCCATCATATGAACTAACCATCTACAAAATAATAACCTTGGGTGAAAATCCCGAGGCAATAAAGCTTGGACCCGCTGAATGTGATATGGATACAGTATGTTTCTTTTTAATACTTTCCAAACGGTTTTTGGGCTAACTTCAAGCTGTAGTGCAATCTTTCTGGTACTATTTGAAGGATCTTCTTCTATTGCATTAAACACAGCTTCTTTTAGTTCAGGCGTTGTTACGGTTTCTGGTCTTCCACCACCCGTATTTTTAGTAAATCTCCCAGTTTCACATAATCTCGCATGTAGCGTTCTAAATGTTTTAGCGCATGGAATTACTCTATTATGATGTATGTCCTGGTAAATTCTCCGTGCTTCTTCAGCATTTCCATTTGCTAAACTATAAATACAATGCATGTCAGCCATTTCTACGTTATTAAAATTATTCATGATTGAAAATACTATCAATGTCAGCTAGTAGGTTGTATTTTTTGTTGCTTAAGTTGTGTATTTTTGGTTTTTGTTTTATGTTCAGGGATAGTTTTTAGAATGAGTTAAAGTAGTTTTATTTTTTTTCTGGAAAAAAAGTTAGATATGAAAAAAACACAGGAGACATAAAAGTTGTATTTTTAGTTTCTTAATCTGGAAAAAAATAAAAACCACAAAAAGTCAGTGGCGTACATTTTTTCTCAATAATAATTGGTTGTGGTGCCCCATGAGACGCCACTGGACTTAATAATTAAAATAGAGTTAGTGCTGAATAAGCGTCTTATTAATTCAAATAACTGTACCAAATTTGAACCAAATCGGTTTAAGGACCTATAGGTCTATAAATATATATATATATGATATTTCATAAAAACCTATTTTAAAAAAAAACTCTAACACCCTGTATCTCAGAAACAAAGCGACTCCGGACATATGTTTATAGGAACTTCTTTTCTTAAAATGACCTAACGAATCATCCTCTGAAATTTCGTACCGTAGTTAGGAAACACCCTGTATATAATATAATTAAAAATAATTTTTTAAAATTTGTAATGATATTTTTAATGCAATGAATTAATTAATTTTACTAGATATTTTTAAATAAGTTAGAGATATGGAAAATTGCAATTGCTAAAAATACTTGACAACTAAAGACACAATTCCACTTAAGTGGATAAAGGGTCTATCTATAGACATATAAGTGAAAAAAAATTGACAACTTTTTTTTAAAATCTTTTATCGTGCTTGATTAAGGAGTATTTTTAATAAAAAACAAGGTGTAATTTTTTTTCACTTAGACCCGGGTCGCGACCAGAAAACCGATGGACGTCCTGAGGCCTAGGCCTATGGACGTCCTAAGGCCTAGGCCGATGGACATCCTGAGTACGTCCATCGGTTTTTTGCCTGCGACAATAGTTGAAGATACAAATTGATATATCACCTTTTATAAAGGCCTTTATAAAGGGTGATATATCAACTTGTATCTTCAACTATTGTCGCAGGCAAAAAACCGATGGACGTACTCAGGATGTCCATCGGCCTAGGCCTTAGGACGTCCATAGGCCTAGGCCTCAGGACGTCCATCGGTTTTCTGGTCGCGACCGTCTGTAAAGGATTTAAACCGGATGTCCTCAGGACATCTTGTGCTATCTGGGCTAATGACCTCCCAGATAGCACAAAGATATACTATGGACGTCCAATGGACGCATGCTCGTGGACGTCTGTATGTACATAGGATGTCCATTTTTTTTCTATGGACGTCCCATGGACATCCGTTTAGAGTCCAGATGTCACAACTTTGGACATCCATAAGTCGTCCACCGATGGACGTCTATAAGGTGTTTGAACCATTCCTCCAGCATCCAGAACCTGCTTTTTTGCTTACTTTAACTGTTTTTTGCGACTGTATTTTCATTGCGATGTTGCAGAAAATGTTTTGCCTGGCTCAGTAACAATCCCACTAGGAATATAAATATTCTAAAAGTTGTTAAAAGTTACAACATTCAATGTTGAACATTGCAGGAAATCCTTGTATTCGACTCAGGAACATTACATTTGCAATACTACAAGTGTTTAATATTTCATTGATAGCTTAAGTCCTTTATAGCACGCGCTTGCTTGAATGTCAGTGAGATTGATCATAACTGAGGAGCGTTTATTCAAAAAGGGACATGTCCATTTTAGCGATTTGCAGAAACAAGTCAAAAATAACAGAATTCCTTTGCTTTTGACTTATTTCTGCAAATCGCTAAAATGGACATGTCCCTTTTTGAATAAACGCTCCTCAACTGTTGTTATGCAGCCAACAATACGTTTTAACTTGCATTTCTGTAATAATAATTATGGACGTAAAATGGACACTATATGGACGTCCTTTAAAATCGTACAAAGGATGTAAATATATGGACGTACATAGTACATCCATTTTTAGTCCGTGGACCAATGTACTTAAAATGGATCTTAAACGGACGTCCATTGGACGAATGGTGCTGTCTGGGCTAAATCAGCTTCAAATTAAAATTGAAGACCAATTTCAGGCCATTACTCCTCTTATGCTAGCAAACGTCCGGCGGGAATTTTATGATAGGTTGGGATATTGTTTGGCACAAGGGGGAGGTACTTTTGAAAACCGTCTCTAGTTTTGTTAGAGTTTCATTTTTAAGTTTTTTATTTAGGATTTCTTTTTTATTTTTAAATGTTTTTTCAGAATACACTTTTACTTAATACATTTCATATGATTATGAGTCAGTTTTTTAAACTTCTGCTAATTTTAATAAAAATCAATTTGATTTATTTACACAGAAGAAACAAATTTTAATAGTTATCAGAAAAATAAAAAACTGGTTCTGATGGATAAAAATTTAATTTACGTAAGGAATTCATTCGAGCATAGTTACAGCGCAAGTGGCATAGCCACACTGACTCCACCCTGTCGATTAATTTGTTATAGTACGCATGTCTCAACGACGCATCCAAATCATTTCTGAGAAGGTTCTCGCTTTGTTTTGACTTCGACTTATTTGGTCCAGTTACAATGTATTTTCCCTATGGTTAGCTTGCAAATGAAGGTACGGTATATATGTTTAAATGCACATACTTGTGGAAACTTACTTACACATACTTCCAAGTATGTGTTTAAATGTGTAGAAAAACCATGGTTTTTTATGCATAGACATGCATAGACAAAAGACAATAAACAAAAACACAAAAAACAAAAAATATTGTTAATAATATTATGTATAAAAATATGTCAGTTAGTAAATTTACCGTAGGTACATTTGTGTACGGTATTGAGGTTTGGACCGTATACCGTATTTTCATTCAAATTAATTACGGTAATTACCGTACAAATACGGTAAGGGTTCGGTCTGAAATGTTTCGGTGCGACGTGCTGACCCCCAAATCGTACGGGCAATCGGCCGGGAGAAAGGAAGGAAGGGAATCTATAAATCAAGTTGCAATTGTTCATTTTATTATTTAAAACGTCCTAAATTTTATAGTTAATTTTGACCGGTTTTATTACATTTTAAATGCTTAATAAATTTACGATTTGAGAGACAAAATACGAGATTTTTTTCTGTTACCGTATGAGAACAAAATTTTAAGGTTGGCAACCTTGAATAAACGCCTGCCCTTTCAATTAAAGGACAGTTGGCAACCCTTTATATTTGTTGTATTAATAGCTAGCCTATAATCATTTTGTGGTGCACAGAACACATGATGTGAATATTTACCCTAGATATCTATGACATTTACCTTCTTTATCTCTGATATTTACTAAAGAAATGAAAAATAAGGATGCCGAAAAATATAATCCATGTTTAAAAGAAATGGAGTTGACATACAAATGTTTTAATGATAATGATTTTAATAAATCACTTTGTGTGTTGCAGATAGAAAATTACAAATCTTGTAAAGGATTCTGGGTAGATATATAGTTACATACCTAATTAATGTATATTACAAACTTTTTTGTTGTTTTAGCATTCTGTTCAGGCTCAAAGAAGGAAAAATGGAATAAAACCATATTTGCCTCCTGTTGAAGACAGAGAGAAAATTAAAAAAGATTATTTTAACTCTATTAATAAATAGTTTTACTTATTTAGGTGTATTTAAACAAATATATTTTTCAACTGAAGTTTCTGTTTGGTTATACCCAAGGGGTAAACCACTGATTTTTAAAAATTAAAAATCGCCTATGAACTAACAGCTAAGAATAAAAATCACTAGGGTAGTTATGCGCAACGTGTCGCTAAGAGAAATTTGTTATTAATAAGGATTTTTTCTTATTAATAACGACTGATAACGAAACACAACGTCCACATATTATAATGTTAACCCTTAAATGCATAAGATTTTATTTTTGGACAAAATATAAATGAAACGTTTTCAAATGGCTAATATAATATAGGAAAAATAATTTAAAAAATCAATTATTTTGAAAAAACTTTTTAGCAAATACCTACCTACTTCACTATGTTGCAGATTTGCTACTCGATGCATTTAAGCCCACTGGGAAAGAAACCTTACAAAATATTGCTGCAATGTTCGCCGACTTTACAAATAAAATATTTCCTGTGCTACTTGCATTAACATAAATGAAATGTTACATTTGAAATATTGCATATAATAATTTCCAACAACCTTAAATTTAAAACATTATTTAAAGATTCACATGGAAACTTTTTACAATGTTATATTTGTAACATTTAGTATAAAATGTTGCATACAAGTTTTTAAACATTACAATTATAATATTGCAGACATAACTTTTTTCAATGTTTCAATTGAAATATTAACACAAGTTTCAAATGAAAAATGTTTGCAACTTTACTTTAAATATACAATAGAAACATTTATTTTGGAATGTTTGGGAATATTTTTGAAACATTGCAATTATAATATTACATTGATAAATTTTGGGGAATGTTTCATCCGAAATATTACATTAAGATGATTTTTGCAATATTACTTTATATAAACAATATAAACATTTAATTTGCAAGATTTTTGGAACATTGCAATTATAATATTACATTTATAATTATAACTTTAGTTTTGGACTATGTTTCATCCGAAATATTGCATTAAGATAATTTTTGCAATGTTGTTTGCAGACTGACTTGCCGATGCATCTCGCCGCTGTCTTGGTCATTTATATCTTTATAAGTAAACAGTGACGAGCTTGATGCGTGTCTCCCGTCACCGACTGCCTGACACAGTGTCAGGCAGTCGGTGACGGGAGACACGCATGACTAATGGTCTCATCAGTGTCAGTGACACTGATGAGACCATTAGTCATTGGACGCTTCGAGCTCGGCTCGGTGGCGAGATGGGAAGGCATTTCAGTCTTTGCAACATTGGTTGCCTACTACTGGCGTAAAGTAGAAAACCTATTGTTTTTGATATATATATATATTTATATATATATAGCTCTGGATAAATAATTATAATTAATTATTATTATAATAATTTATATTAATTTAATTGCAATGTTCCTGTAATGTTGCAGGAACCTTTCATTAACAAAAATAACATTTAGTAACATTGCAATTAATACATTTAAGCAACATTTTATTTGTAAATGTAATGTTCCTGAGCCGGACATAAGGCTTTGTTGCAATGTTCCTGCAACATTGCCACAAGGATTTTTGTAACATTACATCTAACAAATGTAACGTTCAGTAACATTGTAGAAATATTATTTTTCCCAGTGGGAGGGTTAAACGTTGGTCTCGCTGATTTTAAAGTGGTTTACCCCTAGGTTATACCTTTATTTTTTATTAAACTAAAGCATGCCCAACAAGTATATATACTTGCAAAAATGCCAAGTTAATGTAAGTATACGTATATGTAAGTACTTACATTAACTTGGCATTTTTGCACAGACACCCTCTACCCAGGTAGCATAGTCATTTCAACGTCATTTAAACGTCAGTGTGCTACCTGCATGGGTATGCTTTAAAGTTGAAATACAGTTTAGTTGAGGTTTAAAAAAATAAATAAGATTCCATGTTGTCTTTTTTTTCTTAATTCAGGTGGCTGCACACTGCAATTAAAAAAATATTTTCCGTATTCAAACTTTCCTGGTTAAAATTTCACATACCCATAGAGCACAAAGTCGTCCATATGGTGTCCATAGGACATCCATCCCACTGGGAAAAATAATATTTCTACAATGTTACTGAACATTACATTTGTTAGATGTAATGTTACAAAAATCCTTGTGGCAATGTTGCAGGAACATTGCAACAAAACCTTATGTCCGGCTCAGGAACATTACATTTACAAATAAAATGTTAACATTTGTTAGCAATTGCTTAAATGTATTAATTGCAATGTTACTAAATGTTATTTTTGTTAATGTAAGGTTCCTGCAACATTACATTTACAAATAAAATGTTGCTTAAATATATTAATTGCAATGTTACTAAATGTTATTTTTGTTAATGAAAGGTTCCTGCAACATTACAGGAACATTGCAATTAAATTAATATGAATTATTATTATAATAATTAATTATAATTATTTATCCATAAGCTATAGGCCTACATATATAAATAACAGTCTGTTTCGACCTGTTTGGTCTCATCAGTGTCAGGCAGTCGGTGACGGGAGACACGCATCAAGCTCGGCAATGTTCACTTATAAAGATATAAATGACCAAGACAGCGGCGAGATGCATCGGCAAGTCAGTCTGCAAACAACATTGCAAAAATTATCTTAATGCAATATTTCGGATGAAACATAGTCCAAAACTAAAGTTATAATTATAAATGTAATATTATAGTTACAATGTTCCAAAAATCTTGCAAATTAAATGTTTATATTGTTTATATAAAGCAACATTTCAAAAATCATCTTAATGTAATATTTAGGATGAAACATTGCCCAAAACTTATCAATATAATATTATAATTGCAATGTTCCAAAAATCTTGCAAATTAAAATGTTTATATAAAGTAACATTGCAAAAATCATATTAATGTATTATTTCGGATGAAACATTGCCCAAAACTTATCAATGTAATTATTACATTGTAATATTATAATTGCAATGTTCTAAAAATCTTGCAAATTAAATGTTTATATTGTTTATCGATTGTTTATATAAAGTAACATTGCAAAAATCATCTTAATGTAATATTTCGGATGAAACATTGCCCAAAACTTATCAATGTAATATTATAATTGCAATGTTTTAAAAATATTCCCAAACATTCCAAAATAAATGTTTCTATTGTATATTTAAAGTAAAGTTGCAAACATTTATCATTTGAAACTTGTGTTCCCAGTAAGCACAGCGTTGATTTCAATATTTGACCAATCTCATTGATTCAATAGAAGTGGTCAATCATTGGGCAATAATTGTATGGTCCATTATTTAGTTAACTGAAATTGTATGTGAAGTCCCAATCGTTGATCAATCATTGCTCAATTTTTAGCCCATTCGAATTGTTAATAATTGATCAATTAACCGGACGTGAAACCGGGCAATTATTGAACACTCCAATACGAACACGGTACTCTGGTTGATTGGCCAATGACTGGGCAATTATTAAATATTAACTACATTTATAGCAAACATTACATATTACAGAAATATCTTTAATATCACCCAAAGAATTATCCCTAGGGATCCCTAAGGATGATTCTTTGGGTTATTTTAAGGATATTTTTGTAGTAGGTACTACACATTTATTTTAATTTAGTAGATATTTAATAATTGCCCAGTCATTGTACAATCAACCGGAGTACCGTATTCGCAATTACCCGGTTTCAAGTTTCAGCTGATTTTTTTCAAAAGTAGGTAATAATTATTATAAGTGAACTATAAAGACGCATTGTAGAAATAAGACTTATTTCTACCATAACTAGACGTATAATGTCCAGTGTTTCGCTTGGCCGCATCATAAATTGAAAGTCGAAAATTAAGGTTTGTTTTGGTTTATAAGGCCGAAAATCGCGTTGTGTTTTAGTATATAAGGTCGAAAATCACGGTTTTTTATAGACAACAATAATCCTGTGGATGTTGAAGACAGATTTTGCAACCAGTTATAGGTCTATAGACCTATATACAGTGGCGTGCAGGACAGGCCCCGCAGGGCCCGCGGTGCGGGGGGGCCCCCGACCTTAGAGGGGCCCCGTAGAGAACCACATTGGGTGGTATAAGTGACAAAGGGGCCCCAGCTCAAAATTTGCGGGGGGGCCCCCAATCACCTTTGCACGCTACTGCCTATATAGTTGTTCCCTGTCTATTGTTTCTTGTCTATGAATCCATTTCGCATGCGCAAGTAAATTGTACACGTGACGTGGCTCATATTCGTCGGTTATTTGTTAAAAGAAACGTGCGTTTGTCCTGTGTGTGTCTGTTAACAGAAAATTTTCATAGAGAATACAAAATTGGTAAGTATTATTCTAATATTAATAGGAACCAGCCGCAATGCTGCCAAAAAGTTATTTATAATGGAAACAAAGAAGGGGCAGTAAGACTTGAAAACACAACCTTTGAAGATGCAATTTATGGTTAATTTACATACATAAATTTTTTAATCGAGTTCTAAATATTTCTATGTTATAGCTTCTCTTGGTGGACGAAAAAGGTTTGACCTTCCAGAAGGAGGCGAATTTAAAGATGTCGTCACAAAAACCCTAACAAAGAATTAGGAATTCGAGTTTGATTGGGATCACTTCTTGCCGGGCCGCCATTTAAGAAAGTTTGTTGTTTTTATTTCATGTACATTCCCATGCAATAATTGTAATTAATTTATTAGAGAATAAAAGTGTTGAGTCAAGTCATGTCAACTGTGACACAAATATTTATGAAAATTTGTAATGTTAAAATATTGAGATAGGTAGGTACCCTGTTTACAAAAAAAACTAAACATTTAAACAGTGAATAATATTATACAGGGTGGTCCAGAACTCGTGCCCCACCAGGAAAGGGCTAATGGTAACGACAATAGAGATGCCAAAACTGGTAAATAAAGAGGTTTAATATTGACCAATCCCAGTGGTAGTCAAATATACAAAATGATGTGAACGAGTCTTAACATTTTACCAAGTTTGCATATGTCAATAAAACTGAAAAGCTTCGTCAAACGAAAAGTTGTAAAACTTCTATTCGTTTTTGAC